TACATAATCTGGATTCCTTTATTTCTACCAACATCAATTTGGTTATGCAGTTAAGTTATGACCATTTACCATGCCACCTGAAGCCGTTGCTGCTTTACTTTGCAACAACTCAAAAGAGCCAACGAACTCCAGTCTCTACATTGATGCAGATGTGGATGGCCGAAGGGTTAGTGGATCATGATAGTTTAGAGGAAACAACTCAAAGTTACTTGGATGCTTTGATTTCCAGTAGCCTGATAATGGTGGATCATATCCCCTCCTGGAGTAAATGGTGGGCGTCTGTAATGATCAAGGTTTGCTATATGCATGATGTTGTGCACGATTTTTGCTCACTCAAAGCGAAAAAGGAAAGGTTTTTCAAGTTAATCAATTCAGGTGATCCATTTCATGCTTCTGATTTGCTACACCGTCGTTTAACGGTTTATACTGACGATGACAGGCAACTCCAGAAAAAATTTGTTTTGTTCAATTCTAATAAGTGTTTAGGTGGTTGTAAGCATCTTATATCTTTGAAAGTGAGTGGTTCTCTTGATAACTACAAGTACACAAGACACTTGAGACTTGTTAGAGTGTTGCAACTGGATGGCATTGTTCTGGAAGACTCTTTAATGGACGACATAGGCTTCCTATTTCATTTGAGGTTCTTAAGCATTCGTTCTAATATGGAAGCCATCCCAGAGTCGTGGGTGAACCTCCAGAATCTGGAAACCCTGTTGATCAATACAGAAAATACCATTGTTTTACTGCCAAGATTATTCAAACTGTCAAAGCTGAAACATGTGAGCATTGACAAGAGTTCTTTCTTTGATGAAGAGGAAGAGGACAATATTAGACTATTGGAAGGTGAGAATTCAAAGCTAAAAACTTTATCCAAAGTTGATATCTCATATTCCCAAGGCACGAATGATGCTCTAGAGAAGTTCCCAAATCTTGAGCACCTTGATTGCACCATCATGGTACCCGAGTGTCCTCCTACACACGGCGATTGGTTTCCCAAGTTTGATATCCTTAATAAACTTCAATCGCTCATTGCAGAATACATCATCGAATGGAATTATCATGTTTATCCCATTGAATATCACTTCCCTACAAGCTTGAAAGAGTTGCGGTTGTTTGATATTCCCATGAGACCTGCTTTGTTGTCAGCAATTGTGGCATTGCCTCAACTTGAAATTCTGGAGATTAACTACTGTGAGTTCGTGGATTATAAGTGGGATGCAAGTGAGGACATCTATCAAAGTCTTAAGACTTTGCGTTTGGCATGTCCCGAATTATTAGAATGGGAAGTTTATAGGGAAACTTTTCCCAAGCTTGAGGAATTAATACTAGAGAACTGTTTCATGCTTACGGAGATCCCTTATGCATTTGGCGATATAGACACTTTAAAATCCATTCACGTGGTTCAAAGTGAGCTTGAGCTTGGAGATTCAGCCATGAAGATAAAGAAAGATGTAATAGATTTCACAGGAGAGGACAGACTTCATGTCCATATATCATAGTGCATTTTTAGGTAATGGAGAAGAGGTAATTTATTTCTTACATCTTCACCCCTACCTAATTCATTCGTTTTATGTGTGTTTGTTTTCATATCATGTATACATCTTTGAGTTCAATTTTTACGAACTGCTATAAGCACTTTCTGTTGGATGGCAATACAAGCCTCTGTTTTCTGAAATACTGAAATTGAAAAACGTTACAAGAATCCAACTTTTGGTTCACACGCGTTTTCTATGTTGCATCATTTGTGGAATTTTGCATCCTACATGTCTGTATATTTATTCAATTTTATATAAGTTTAACTGTCTATAGGGCATAGATACGAGTATTAAACCATTTGCAGTCTCAGTTCATTCGATTACTAATTTTTTTACCTTTGTGGTTCTGGAGATGCTTTAAATTAATATTTTGAGTGTTTTCTTTCATTTAAACTGTGTATTGCTTCGCATCATTAGTAATTTGTTTTATTTGCAGTTAATGCTTGGAAAATTTAGACAATGCTGATTTGAACTTGGTTTCGAGATCGAAGGAGATTATTGAATAATGTCATCATCCTGTTTATGGCAAAGCCACGAGAGGCTGCAGTGGCCCTTGCTTGGTGGAGTTAGTTAAGAAATTAAGTTACGTTTTTACTATCAATTATATCTTTTGGCAAGATAGACCAAACTCTTCTTTCTCATTTGCTTTTTTATTTTGTCTACAATGTAATAGTTTAATTACAGGATGTCCCTGAATATAAAAAAGTCACTTTTATTACCATATTGATCTGTTTTTTGGTTGAGTAGCAGTGAACTTTATTTGCTAAAATAATATAAAATTTTCATTTATAAAAGTAAATAATGAAATTGAATCTGTGTTAGCAAATTAAATTAATAAAATGAAGGAAAAACTTAAACGAGGTGAGTTGAAATTTTGCGGGTTAAAGCTCATCCCTAATAAAAATAAAAAATGCTAAAAGAGATAAAAAAAAATAAAAATTGGAAGAGTTGTGCATGATCATGTGAACATTCAATTAGTCTAATCAAAGTCTATGATCTGAAATTGATTAAGTTTATAATTATTAAAACTAAAGTCTTTGTACTCAAAATGATAGCTGACGGTCCATAAATATATTTGCAAGTGTTAATTAGGTGGCACATTTACATTAATATTCAATTAAAAAATAATTTCAAAATAAATAAATATTTTTTTATTAACAAATGAAAGATCCTTTGTTTTATTGGCAGATCCATTCCATTGTCTGTCTAGTTGACTAATGGATAATTATATAAGGCAGTAAAGATGAAACTTCATTCAGTTGTTTCTAATATCTTTGAGTGGAATAGAGATTCGATTGGAAGTAAAGAAAAAAGGTAAACTATTTTTCTACTTTTATCTTTCGATTTCAATTTACATGTATCTTTTTTATTTGATAGAAATATTTGGACTTACAAGGTAGATAAATTCATATCTCCTTTTTGTTTTTATTTTGATTATTTTTGGATTATCTATACATAATGAAAACTAGAAAATGGTTTATATACAGATAGAGAAGTGAATCATTTAATAATTAAGCTCTTTTTGTTTATCCATCTATAGAAGCTTTCACTAATTTTGCTCATAACTTAAAGGATTGAAGGTGGGGGATGCTTATTATATGAGTAACTTTATCTTGTCGATAATTAAGCATCAATACATAATAGTTGAAAGAATTTATTTCATGGCATCAAAATCAGCCCCAGACTCTTCTTTTCCCACTATGAACTATATTTTTGAACTTTTTCATATTTGGTTGGTCAAAAGTATTAGAGAATATTTTCTAAAATTAAGTGTGCTGATTCGGTCGGTCATTTTTTTGTTTTCCCGTGGAAACTATCATTTCGCCCTTTCGTGATTGACCCCGTGTCTCCTATGTTTGTGTTTTGAAAAGTTGGTTTTGAACTTTGAGTTAAAAGTCGAGAATATGGTAAGTTTGAGAATTTTAAAAGGAAAATGCACAAATACCTCCAACATATGCCCGAAATCTCCGAGACACATTTATATTATATTAAGGTCCTATTATCCCTTGAACTTATTCTATAAATAATTTTCTAACCCTTTTCGGCCTACGTGGCACTATCTTGTGGGCTCAGCGCATGTTGACATTTCTATGAATAAGTTTTTCCTCTTTATCTTGTTCTCCACATTTCTTTCATTTTCATTGGGTTGAAAATGATTGTCTTGGTGGGAATAGACAAACATCATTATGTCATTTTTTTTATCATGACATTAAGTATGGTCATTGTAAGATATTTTGATATAATATGATAGCTTTTTATTAGAATTTTGTATTTATCTAGAATCAAATAAATTAGCAGAATCCAAAACTTATAAATTCAATCGTTAACATTTTTTACTCTTGCTCCTTGTAGTTTTTTTTGTTAAAGAATGACAAAAAGTCGCACATCGGTGGTTAATGAGATGGGTGGACTCTTTGTAAAGCTTGGACAATCCTCCTCCCTTTGAGCTAGCTTTTGGGATGTGAGTTAGGGCTAAGAACTAATTTCAATTGAATCTGAAAGAAATGGTATGCCTAACATTAGAGGAAGAAAGAAGAAGAATAAGTGATCTTATTGATGATTTATTGAATGGTTTGAAGAAAATAAAGAAAGAATTCATTGCTTCAAAATGGGATGACATTGAAAAGCTAAGAATGGAATTGAGATTTCTAAGAACATTTGTCCTGTTTCGGAATTGGAATTTGGATGACTTTTATGATAAGATGTTACTGAATATAGAAAAGCTCAAAGATCTAATAGATACAATTTTCAATGAAGATGAATTTATCGTAGCCAAATACAACATGGACAGTCTTCCGTCTTACCTGCGGAAAGAAATCAATAGTTATTTGAGATTGAAGAATGTAGCCAATATCATAACTGAGGAGAATATGTTTGAATATACAGACAGCCTCCTCAAGAACCTCCATGATCTACCAAAGTATTGTTCTGATTTGCTTCAACCCCTCATGAGTGAATACAACATTCTTCGGCAAGTATGCACACATCTCAGAGATTTCTATCAGTTGAAATGCAACAAAACAACAAAAGAATTTCTCTATGCTTGGTACCGAATGACGGTTGATAGAGTAACACAATTCTGTTTTGATCTTTGGACTGGAAAGTACAAAAACTATGGATATGAGTATGCCTTCTCTGAATGCTCTTCCAAGATCACTTCTCTACTCATCGACATAATCCCTCTTGAGTTGGAGGTTCTACACATTTCTACTTCTAAGCTCATTAAAGAGTCAACATCAAAAGAACTAGAAGGATTGGTTAAGCAAATCTTAAAAGCATCTCCAAGGATTCTTCAAAATAATCTCATTCATCTCCAACGACGCATGGAAGTTGCAGTAGATGTAAATTACGCTCCAACTCGAAGCATTAGTGTCATGATGGAGTTCCTATTGATCTTTCTAACTGATATGCCAAAGCGGTTTATCCATCGTGAAAAATTGAACGATATGTTGGCACATGCTGGAATGCTTACCAGAAAAATATCTTTTCTGGTGATCAAGCTGTTGGAGGAGATCTCTGAGGATAATATCAATGAAGCGGACTTTTCAGCTCCAGACTTTTTGCAAGAAATCGAACAAATGAAGGGAGACATCAGACACATTTTTTTAAAAGCTCCCGAGTCATCTCAACTTCGTTTTCCAATGGATGATGGTTTCCTCTTCATGAATCTTCTACTCAGACATTTAAATGATTTGCTCATTGCCAATGTCTCTTCAGTTACTCTGATAAAGAAAGAAATTAGGATGGTGAAAGAAAGCCTTGAATTCCTAACATCATCTTTCGGAAAAGTCAGGAAAACGTTGGATGGCACTAGTGGAGTAGTTAAAGATTGTTGGTTGCATGCTTTGGATGTGGCATATGAGGCAGAGCATGTCATTAATTCCATTCTTGTCAGAGATAAAACTCTCTTGCATTTAGTCTTCTCACTTCCGAATGTCACTGATAAGATCAAGCTTATCGTGGCACAAGTCACCAGTTTACAGCTGGAGGATAAGAATGGGGATGAACCCCTTGATGCAAAGTCTTCCCATGAGTCAATTGTGTTAACCTCATCACCTTTTGTTGAGGTAACAGTAGGTCATGAGGAAGAAGAAGCCTGGATCATTGGCCAGCTCCTTGATGAACATGAATCCGAGCTTGATGTCATTTCCATTGTTGGAATGCCAGGAGTCGGTAAAACTACTCTTGCCAATAAAGTGTATAACAATACATTAGTTGCAAGTCATTTCCATGTTCGTGCTAAGTGCACTGTTTCCCAAAAGTATTAT